AATGTGTTCTCCAAACTTAGAGTTAATGTACTGATTGAACAGTTCATGCAAGTCTAGGAACCGTCCAAAGGCTTCCTGAAAACAAAATTTATTCAAAAATTGACGGTGAGAAGTAATTCAAAAATAATAACGAAAACGAAAAGCTGTTATCTAATAGACAAACAATATCCAAATCCCACGAATATTATCTTTACACTTTCAATTCATAAATTTTCTTCTTCTTCTTTACTTGAAGACCCCTAAATTGCATACAATATATTATGTAATATCAAGCGTTGATTAACTAAATTCGCCTTACACACCTCTCCACTGAACTCAATTAGCGGTTCCTCTTTTAGCAGATTTTCATATTCCTCATTAGCATCAACAACACGTGCAGCCGGATGCCTCCTATGGTACTCACGAATCTGCACATAAACAAAAATTTCACTATAAATTTTAGTAACCAAACTTCGAAGCAACTTCCAATTCTAAAAATCAAAACAAAAAAATAAGTAACCTCTTTCAATCTATCGTAAAATGCACTAAACACATTTGTTCCTGTCGCAGTTTGGCCTCCAAGAGCTGCAATCTCATCCTTCCTCGCATTATCTTTATCTTCATAAATCTCAACCTACAAAAATAAAAAACAAAAACAAGCAAACGATGCGGTATAATTAAACTCTAACTTTGCAATAAAAGATGCCAAAATTCAAAGTGTAGGATAAATTACGAGTTTTTCGGTAGTGGCGGTGATTGTATCGATCATGTTACGGACGCGGTGAGTCTGAAACAAGCGGCCCTTGTTGGAGGTAGGCTCGGTCTGTAGATCCTTCACTACAAGCCGTTCCAGCCGCTCCACTTCCTCGTGAGCCGCGCGAGTCACCTCCAGTAGAGTCGACGACATTGTAGCTCTCTCTCTCCGCCAGAGCCCGATCCGGAGGGGTTAGGGTTTTTCCAACTTTCTTATTACTAAATTGATAACGAAACTACTGGACTGCAAGTAGCAGAAGGAAGTCGGCGTCGTTTTACAGTGACGTGGCAAAACTTCATTGGATTATATAAAAAAAACCTCCCTAGCCCCATATGTTTGGTGTTTTTTTTTTTAACCGTAAACACCTGCTAGTCTCGGAAAAGCCACCTTATCCCTCATTTTGCATTTTATGTGAACCGCTAAATCATTTTGTTTAAGTTTGAAAGAAATAACATTTTTACTACTCGTCTAAATTTAATCAATCAACGCTCAAAATCTGTCAATAATGTTTGTTGATGCAAGATTTATACCGATTAGAGTGATCTAATTGATCTTGATGAAATCAGAATCAATGTGTGTGTAATCAATTAAAATCAACAATATAATAACTTTAAATACAAAGAAAGTAAACAAAAGAATTTTAAAATGTTTCGACAAGTTTTAATTTTAAGCTTACGCCCACTGTATTTCTTATTTCTTAGAGAGATTACAAGAAATAATAATATACCTAAAATAATTTACTAACCCCTCTCCCATTGTTGGAGGGGGTTTATATACAAAATTTTTACAAAGAAATGAGCAAAATTAAAAGAATTACAATCAAGATAGAAGTATAACTCCGATATTCTCGCAATTCAGCGTAACCTAATGGGACTCTAACTTCTCCAAACTTAATGAAAAAATCACACACAATAATGTTAAAGGGTTAATATATTGTTTAGAAGTTAAATTGTTGATAAATTTAAAGGTTTAATAGATGACATTTCCAAAACTAGTTAAAACTCAATATAAAAAAGATCAAACACACATAGGTTAGCGTAGAAATACTAACAGATACCCACTAAAAAAGGCCAAACATAGAGAAGTTATGGTAAATTTCTGAAATCAGTGAATGCTCCATTAAAAAGAGCAAACACGGGATTAACTATGTTAACTCTTTTTATATAATTTCATAATTAGAGGTGGAATAAATGGACTGAGTTAGACGAGTTAACCCTAACCCGACCCGCATTAAAGAAGGTTTAACTTGCACCGCTAATAAAGCAGGCTGGGTTGGACCTAACCCGCATGCAACCCCCGAGCGGGCTGGGTTGATATATGGCAACCCGACGACCCGCGGATTGCTGTTTTGTTTTTTTTTTTAAAGGACCCACCAACTCTCCGGGTTGACCTACGGGTTGGCTGAAAAAAAAATTAATTTTTTTTAAATACCCCTTTTATCTTTGAAATATAGTCGTTTTATAGTAGTTAGAAGGGTTTTTTTGGTCATTTTTTTTCTATAAATTGGCCCTAAACTCTCATATTTTCTCACATCCCAAATTCTCTCATTTTCTCTAATGAAATCTCTCAATTATTCTCTTTGTTGTCAATTTGCTCTTATTTTAATTTTTATTAGTTTTTGCAATTTTCAATTCATATTTCCATATTTCAATTCTCATTCTTTAATTTTTTTTTTCTTCTATATCATTTTTTTTTTAACTACAGTGGATAGATATTTCTCTCCCATCAATTTCGATGATGAAGGAAACTACTATCCTAGTCCCACTGAATTTACTAATATAAATGCAGCAGATCCAAATAGTCTTGCTTTCCTAGTCTCAGAATCCGATACACCTCAAAATATACCCCCGATTCCTCCCCATGCTGCTACAGCTCCCGGTGGTTCTAGAAGTCGTCCTTGTAATCGTCATCCTCGTCCAGCTTCATCTCAAGCTAAAGCGAGTTCATCAACTGTTGTCGAAACCGACGACAGACACACATCAGACGTTTGGGTACATTTCAACAAGTTTTACGAGATAGAAAATGAAGTTCAAGTGAAGAAAGCAAGATGCAAGTATTGTGGAAATATTTATAAAGCTGATTCAGGTAATGGTCCTAGTACTTTAAAAAGACATGCTAATAAACATATTGTTCAACATGGAAATAGAGAAACCAATCAAACTCAAATAACTAATATGGGTACTACTTGGCGTTATAATTCTGATGTATATAGAAGACAATTAGCTTTATATATTGCTGCAACTGATCAACCTATTAATATGGCTGAAGATAAATATTTTGAAAGAATTATTAAAAATTCATTTTTTCCAGGATTTAAAAGTTATCCTAAAACTGCAACTAGAAATGATTTAATAAAATTATTTGGGAAAATGAAATTAGAATTAAAAAATAAAATACATAATTGTCATGTTATTGTGGCTCTAACTGTCGATATTTGGAGTGGTAGAGCTAAACAAGATTATATTTGTGTGACTAATCATTATTTTGATAACGAATGTAAATTAAATAAATCTTTATTAGGATTTAGATTAATGGATGTAGATCATAGTGGTCAACAAATTTATAATAAAATTATTGAAATTTTAGAAGATTATGATGTTATTAATAAAGTGATAAGTTTAACTTTAGATAATGCAACTGCTAATGTTATAGCTATAGATTTTTTTTAAAGTAATTATCATTTTTATAACAATTTGAAGTTTTTTCACCAATGTTATGTATGTCATATTATTAATGTAATTGTGAAAAGTGGTATGAAAACAATTAAAGAAAATATTGATAGAATTAGGGATTGTTTAGCTTGGATTACTAGTAGTAATAAAAGAAATGCTGAATTTCAAGATGTTTATATAAAATCAAATATATCTCCTAGAACTTTTGCATTAGACATGCCTGTTAGATGAAATAGTACTTATTTAATGCTTGATTCATGTTTACCTTATGCAAATTTAATTAATTATTTTGTAGCAAATAATAGATGTCCTCATTATTTGGTAGAAAATGATTGGCATATAGCTAAAATATTTCATTATTTTCTTAAATTTTTTTACCAATCCACTTTATAACTTTCTGGTGTGTATTATCCTACTAGTCCATTGATAATACATACAATTATTAAAATTTCAGAGTTATTTGAAAAAAACAAAAACAATGAAATTTTAAAGGAACCAATAAAGGCAATGGAATTTTTTTTTAAATATTGGAAACCCATTCATTTTCTTTATTGTTTAGATGTTATATTTGATCCTAGAATTAAAGTAGCAGGTTTAGAAAGTGGTTTAGACACATTAACTGAAAATTTACAAAACGAAGCATATGTTAATCAACTATGAGAGGTAAAAGATTGTCTTACAGAGGTATATTTTCAATATGAAAACAGGAATGGGAACCCGCAAAGATGCAAAATACCCAGGGAAGTTGCATCAGAAGAAACAAATGAAGATTTATACTCCTGGAGTGCATTTAATAGGCCGAAGAGGACCCGAACCCGAAGCACAACCTCCTCTTCAGAAGCACCAACAACGTCAAAGAATATACTGTCCTCCATGCAGTTGCAGAGTAATGAGCTTCAACAATATTTGGGAACCCCTAAAATGTTACCAGCAGATCCACAATAAAGAGCCAACTTTGATGTCTTAGAATATTGAAAAACCAGAAAATGTATTTTTCTGGTATTATCAAGACTTGCCTTGGATGTTTTCGCTGTTCCTATCTCAACTGTCTCATCTGAACAAACATTTAGTGCAAGTGGAAGAATTTTAAATGAAATGAGGACTAAACTTTCACAAAAAATGATTGAAGTCCTCACATGTCTTTGAGATTGGATCGTGCTATCAAGATCAATATGAGGTTGTCGACGATACTTTAATAGAATCATTTTAATTTTGTAATATAGATGATACAGATGAGGGAGGTTCTAGTCAACCCCCAAATTGGTTGTTTTATGAATTGTAACTTGATAAATGAATAAATCTAATTTTCTTATATTATAATTTTATTGTATTAAAATTGAATTAATATTTGAAATGTTAACAAAAAAAATTTAATTTAATTGAATTATTGATATTTTAAAAGTTAACTAAAAATTATTATATAAAAGAAAAAAAGAAAATCTAAAAAAAATGACTAACCCGGCCCGGCCTACACTATAACCCGTCGGGTTTGAGTTGATGGTCAGACTGAACCAACCAATTCTAACAAGTGACAGGCCTAACCCGGCCGTCAAAAGTCTCAACCTGCCGCGGGCCGGGTCGGGTCGGTCGGGCTGCTTTTCCAACATCATAATTAGTATAGAGTATTTTTCTGCTTTACAGGCCGGTAACCGCTGAGGAAAAAAAAAAAAATGAAAGCTTGTTGTATTCACTTTTAGGGAGCCCACTTCTGTTTCTTTTCCGGTCTACCTCTCCTGCTCTCCTTCTCAGTCTCTCTAAAAGATTAAGTAAAGCTTAAATGTGGAAGCTGAAGCAGCTGATACCGGGGGACGATGATGACAGAGAGGCGAGCTTGTCGGATGAAGAATCAGACGGCTTCTGTTCCCTCTCTTACACGCAGGTAGTTCTTTCAACATAACTCACAATTTTCCCCTTCCTTTTTTCAGTCATTGACTTGTTTCGGTCATCAAGATTCATCTTTTAATTCAAAGCCTTTGTGGGTGTTTTTTCTTCTACAGAGAATGTATGCTTTCGCTGCGTGTTTGGTCGGTGGTTTCGCTTGTATGTTTCTGGTACAAAGACTTCTGAATTTTTTTTTTTTTTTTTTTTTTTTGGTCAGAAAAAAATAAATGAGTCGATATGTGTATGTAAAAATCAAAATGTAGCGTAAATGTGTATTAATTCTGGCTTTGATTTTGGAAGCAAGAACTGCTTTGGGTTTTACTTGTAAAAAGCTTGTGAAAACTGAAGTTATGTGAACTGAAACAATGATAATATGAGACGCTTGATGCCTAAAACTTAATTCTTAATTTGAATATTATCAAAATTTTCCACTTTTTATTTCTTATATGGTTAGAATAGCATGATTTAGTTTGGTTGGGGGCAAAGTTTAGGAAGCTTCATAATGAGAAATTGCTCATTTAAAGGAGAAAATTCTAGATTTTTTAGCAATTGAAATATGAATTTTGAAAGATTTAAAGATGCATAAGGGAATTTATCGTTAAGTTGCTCACTGAAACCAAAAAAAAAACTAATCTATTGGTGGTTCTTCAACCTTTTCTCATAACTTTTGCTTCTTTTGCAGTCAATGATTGTGTTTCTCAAACCCATCAAATTCGCAATATTATTCACCTTTGGCAACGTATTGGCAGTTGGAAGGTGGGTTGACTGATGCATCAAGCTATGAGTGTTACATATTAATTTTTTAGATTTTCTGCTACTTACTCTCTGATGATATCCAGAGCTAAAAGTCCCTACAAGTTTCTTAGTTTTGGTGATTTCATCAATCATATTGTAGGAATCATGGTATTTTCTTAATAATAGAAACTGTGGTCAATCTGCTTGTTTTGCTTCTTCAGTTCATCTAAAGAAAATGGAGGCTCTCATGAAAGTTTCTAATTCAGGACATTCAAAAATATAAAAATAGAATCCGATATAGTTTTTCCCGTGTTCAAAGATTCAACCAAATTGCTAAATTTGCTCTATCCTTATCCATATACTAACATATGGATTTTGCTGACTTCAACAAATGCATCCAGACTGTACATCTTCCAATAATTTTCACCTGTCAAAGTTGATAATAAGTTGGTTTATATTGAAGAGAAGACTTTATGATGTTCAAAGTTGTGTCTATTGTTTTCAGCATGATTTCTTCCTGCAGTCACTTTAACTTGGTTCAACTGAATATTATTGTTCTGAATGTTTCTCAGATTCTAAATTCCTTTTCATGTTTGGCAGCACAGCCTTCCTTATTGGACCTGAACAACAGTTAAATATGATGTTTGATTCCACACGTCTTTATGCAACAGCTGCATACCTTGGATTTGTTGTTATAGCTCTCATTTCTGCTCTCTGGGTATGTTTACACTCTTGATCCTGATTCCCATTTTAGTAATGAGGTGTTGTGAGTTAAAGTGAAAGCTTGGAAGATTGCATGCAAAATACCTAGGATATATGACGATATTGAATAGGGTTCCCCTGCTTAGATTGTTCAAATTTGCTAGTCCAAAAACATATCTTGATACAGTGTTCTATTCTACTGGATGGATCTTTCTCAGTTCACAGAACTATTTAGTAAATGAAATATATGGTTTCTGTTTAGATTTTGTTTAGTTCATATCTATCAAGAAAGAATCTGATGGCATTTCCTGACGATTTTCTTGTTAGATAAAATATCTTCTTTGACACCTATCTCCACTTCATTGAATTTAAAAAATTGTATGATTGATTTTTTTTTTTAAGCTCATTGAATACCAGAGAGTTTTTATATTTCTAAATGCTTGCGAATTGTAAATTCCAAGTGGTGAAACATTTAATCATTTTTTTCTTTATCAACACCATGTGCCTCCGTAAGCTGCCTCAGTTCATGTCATCAAGAGAATTTTTTATGCATCTGTGTGTGTGTGTGTCTCTCTCTCTTGCTCATGTTCATTGAGATGCTGAAATGGATCCAAATCTTCAAACCATCAGAACTTTAACAAAGTGATGAAAGTTAAAAACGTGGGAAACATACTTCAAGTTCAGTTTCACCTATTTTTAGTTTCGTACTCATAATAGCATACATTTTAATCCCTGTGTCCATGCATTTTTTTATGCCAGTAGTTCTGCTGTTATTCAGCTTTATTTCAAATATGCCTTAAGGATGAGAGCAACTTTGGCATTGTTTCGATGTTAATGATATGATTTTTTGTTGGTTTAATCAGTTCTCACTAATACTTTATTTGAATGTTGCAGATCCATAACAAAATTCTAACAATACTCGCAATCATTTGTGAAATCTGTGCTCTTATCTGGTAAGTTTGCTTTTCGCCTACATCCATCATTTTGCTGGCAGACACTGGCACACTGCCTTGATTTCTTTTTTACTGAGTTTTCGCATTTCTTCAATTCTATTCTTTGGTGCTTGCTCTTCTAACCCACACTCCTCCGGCAAAGATAGTCTGATTTTGGATCAATTTTACTTGTTTCATTTTGAACTATTATCTTATACACACTGCTTATGTTATTTTCTTTTGGAATTGCTACAGGTACAGTCTAAGTTATATTCCTTTTGCTCGCAGAATGGTTTCTGAATTAATGGTTCGATTTTGTGACACTGAGCTCTAGACAATGCAAACTCAGAGGACAGTATTTAGATGAGACACTGTAGCGGTCTGTTTTCGCTCAAGGTTATTTGATTGATTTGTGTTTTCATGGCTTGTGATTGTTATAATAGTGACATTTGAGAAAAGAATTCTGTGAAGGCCAATGCCAACATTAGCAACAACACTAATTTGTGAAGCTAATTTTTTTTTACTTGGTTGAAATTTTATCTTATGACTAAAAGATCAGCTAATTTATGTGTAGACATTACAAATGAAAACCTTAATTTTGGATATTATTTGGGACATGTTGCATTCTTCGTCATCAAATGAATATACAAATTTCTCAAGTTAAGTGATGAATCAATTTCGTTATGGATGTAATAAATTCTTCTGTATGTATGCTGTTGTGCGGTAAATTTAATGAGCATGGATTTATACCATGTGCCCCAAGGATCTACTATTGTTCAATGGTACATCTACGGCATGTGTCAATCCACCTTGAGCTAATTCCATTTAAAACTTCACTTATAAGTTTGCTACTGTGACATTGGTTCAGATACCTCACTACATTTTTTTAAGGAACTGGATCTGGATTCTTGAAATAAATTGGAACTTATAACAATGGTTCTGGTTCCAATTTTGGGTACCTTAGGAAAATTTTTCACCTCGCAAAAGTTTATAAAATGACCAAAAAAAACCCTTAAAAACCTTATAAATACCCCCCACCTAGCACTTTTAACAAAAAATAAAATTAAAAATACATTATAAAGTCTTGAGGCATTTTAACTCCAATTCAACTCTATGGAAACTAAAAATTTCACATTACAAAATACAATAATTTGTTGAAAAATCACAAATTCAACTTCAAAAGAATTTAAAGTACATATAAATATAATGTTTATACATGTAATGTTTATGTGATATTATGCTATCAATAAATAAAAGTATTATTTACATGCTTCTTTTTCCTAGCTCAATTATTTAAACAAAGAGATTGTTGCTGCTAATAACACGTATAGAAGAATTAAATATTCAATAATGTAATTTATACAAATTAACAAAGATGGTTTCGGTTCTGGTTCTGGTTCTTCACTACAGGAATGGGAACCGCATAATGTTGGTTCCAGATTTTTGGAATCAGAACCTACCCATTGACGACTGGTTCCGGGTAGGAACCGGAACCAAACCTCGAGTATTCGTTGGTTCCGATCGGATCTTTTGAACACCCCTAGTGACAACACATATATAATATGATTTCTAACTCGAATGGAGGGACTCTCTCTCTCTTTTCCATTCATGTAGGCTGCCTTAGCAGAGAGTTCATCTTTGTTCATCATATATCTCTTTTGTAATCAATCTTAATGTAAAGCAAATGCTAAGCAATAACATAATAGTGTCAAACCACTTTAAGAAACCTCATTTGTTCTCACTGTGTGGATTCATTAATCCATCCATATTGTTAAAATGTGACGCTAAAACGCAGTGTATCAGGTTAAGTGAAATGCTGCAGTTTTAACGTTAACATTTGAAGCCAAAAACGCAGCATATCAGCGTAAGTGAACTGCTGTAGATTCAATTCATCTTGCAATCTTGACCGCTGATTAGAGACACATCTAAGGGCTATTATTTCACTTAAAAGTCAAGGTATAAAAGGAGCAACTCTTCATTTTAACGCGACAGTACATAACAACACAATAAGCTCTCTTCTTCTTTGACTCTATATTTTACTTTGTTAGGGCCGTTTCAGTTTATTCCAATTCTTGTAATCTTTGTGCAATCATTTAGATTGATTAGTGAAGGTGGTGTTTCCTTCATGGGTAGAGAAGCTTAGGAAGTCTTTCTCTTGGGTTTGAAGGTTATGGTAAAAGAGTTGTGTTAGATTAGCAAAGTGAGTTGGGTTGTGTTTGAGATTCTGAAAGTGTACTATGTAAACGACATTAATCTTCTTAGTGCAGTGAGCCTCGGTGTTTCGGAGCTCAACGTGGATGTAACTTGCTCAAATCTAGAGCAAGTGAACCACGGTAAAATCTTGAGTGTGTGTTTGGTTTTTTCTTGATTCCTTGTGTGATTGATTGGTAGATTGGTGTTTAGTTTAGTTTCAAATCGTTACAGTGGTATTAGAGCTAAGTTCTAGGGTTTGTCGATTTCGTCCAGTCCTTGATTTGGGAAATTCTTGATTCCAGGGTTTGTTAAATTGGGAGTTTCTTGATTTAACGGTTCTTAAGGAGTCAAGGGGTCTAGAAATCGTCAATTAGGTTCTTGATTTGAGGAAATCTTTTTGATTCTAGGGTTTGCTAAATTGGGGGTTTCTTGATTTAGCTAGTCTTAGGTAATCTTGATCTTCAATAATCTTCAATTAGTCTATAAATTCGTGGGAATCAAAAAGCAATTCCACGTTCTAGGGTTCAACTGAAAAAACCACAAAATGTCCACCACCACTCGCATGGAAATCACCCAATACGATGGGAAAATTGATTTCAATAGCTGGAAAAAGAAGATGAAGGCTCTCCTGTCTCACAACAAGGTGGGAATTGCATTGGAGAAAGACTCTACCAAATGGCCAGAGGAGAAGCTGAAGAAGAAGGATGAGATTGATGAGAAGGCTTATAACCTCATCATTTTGAACTTGTCAGACAGCGTCCTGAGAAAGGTAGATGGCCTGGAGAATCCAATCGCTTTGTGGGGTAAACTCGAAACTTTATTTGCATTACAATCTGCCCCTAACTTAGCATTTTTAAAAGGTTCTTTGTTTGCTTATAAAATGGATGTGTCTAAGTCCTTAGATGACAATTTAGATGAGTTTTTGAAAATGACGCTAATTCTTAAAGGCACTGACCAAGAATTAGGAGGCTCCAACTTGGCTATGATTTTGTTAAATTCGTTGCCTGAAGATTATCTAGTAGTTAAAAATACTTTACAGTATACTGGGACTGTCTCTAGTGTTGACTTGATTGTAGCTGGACTAAAATCTAGGGAGTTGGAGTTAAAGACTCAGAAAAGAAATGGCAATAACCTTTTTGTAAAAGGTAGGGCAGAAACTGGTCATATAGGAAAAGAGGCTGGGAAAGGTCTACAAAGTAATTCAGGCTTTAAGAATAAGAAAAAGGTTAAGGGTAGTAATAAGCCTAAAGGAGAGACTAGGAAATTCTTCTACTGTAATAAAACTGGTCATCTTAAGAAAAATTGCTATGATTGGATTAAGAAACAGAAACAGTCTAACATAGAAAGCAACCTAGCATGTACTAATAACAACATTGAACTTTCTAAAGCTCTCATAGTGTCTAATTCTGCTAGTGTTAAAGAGTGGATATTATACTCCGGATGTTCCTTTCACATGAGCCCTAATCGAGATTGGTTCCAAAACCTTAGGACTGATGATAGTGAAACTGTATTCATGGGTAACAATCACTCTTGTAGAGTTCAAGGCATTTGTAGCATAACTGTTAAGTTGAATAATGACAAGTTAATCAAACTAACTAAAGTAAGATTTATACCTGAACTCAAAAGGAATCTGATCTCGTTAGGAACCCTTGATGAGGATGGGTACTGTTATAAGGCTCAAAATGGTTGTATAGTTGTATACAAGGATAATGAAATATTGCTAAAAGGAACTAAAACTAATGACTTGTACATTCTATGTGGTCAATACTATCATGATTCTTTTAATACTGCTTTGTTTACTACTAACTTGTCTGCAGCTGAGAAATGGCATCTGAGGATGGGCCATATAGGCCAAAAAGGTATGAGTATTCTCAAACAGCAAGGCTGTTTTGGGAATGACATAGTTTCTGATCTAGATTTATGTGAAGTATGTGTGTTAGGTAAACAACATAGGATGAGTTTCCCAAAAGGAACTCATCAGACCTCTAGATGTTTAGAGTACCTACATGCAGATCTATGGGAACCAGAGAGGGTTAAATCACATGGTGGGAATTCATATTTCCTGTCCATTGTAGATGACTTCAGTATGAAGGTGTGGATGTACCTTCTAAGGTCTAAGGACGAAGCCTTAACCAAGTTTAAAGGCTGGAAAACTCTAGTAGAAAATCAGAGTGATAAAAGAGTCAAGGCACTTAGAACAGACAATGGTTTAGAGTTTTGTAACTCTGAATTTGACACTTACTGCTCTAACCAAGGGATACTAAGGCATAGGACAGTGAGGAGAACCCCACAGCAAAATGGGGTTGGTGAGAGAATGAATAGAACCTTGTTAGAGAAAGTTAGGTGCCTACTTTTCACCTCAGGGTTGTCTAAAACCTTTTGGGGGAGAAGCCTTAACCACTACAGCCCACCTTATCAATAGGTCCCCCTCTAGTGCTATAGAGTTCAAGTGTCCTGAAGAGAAATGGATTGGTAAGAAGCCTAGCCTCAATCACTTACGGGTTTTTGGGTGTGTTGTCTACGCACACACAAATGATGGGAAGTTAGAGCCAAGGTCCCTTAGGTGTGTATTTCTAGGATATCAAGAGGGGAGAAAAGGGTACAAACTTTGGGAAAGAGAGGCACAGGAGGTTAGGGTTATAATTAGCAGGGATGTGGTTTTTAATGAATCAGTTTTTCCTTGTAAATCTACTAATCCCATCGCAAGAACATCAAATATTGAGACAACAAATGTGAATCAAACTGGTACCACCCAAATAGAGGTGGAGCCAGCAATTCATCACATGGATCTGCCGAACTTTGATGAAGACATTACACCTGTAGTAATGCAGCAAGATGTTGATACTGTGCAAGATCCTGAAGAAGCAACTGAAGAGATTGGTGAAGGGTCTTAACAAGGGGACCTTGCACATTATTAGCTTGCAAGGGACAGAATCAGGAGGGATATAAGGCCTCTTGCGAGATATAGTTATGCAGACCTGATCTATACAGCTCTAATTGCTGGTGGTGAAATTCAAAGGGTTAAACCTACCACTTATGAAGAAGCCATAAGTTATAAGGACAAAAAACAGTGGCTGACTGCTATGAGTGAAGAAATGCACTCTTTAAAGGTGAACAAGACTTGGTCATTAGTTCAGAAGCCTAAGGATAAGAAGTGTGTAGAGTGCAGGTGGCTGTTCAAGATAAAAGAAGGCATAAACCCTTCAGACCCTCCAAGATACAAGGCCAGGTTAGTTGCAAAGGGCTACACACAACGAGAAGGTATTGATTTTAATGAAATTTTTTCTCTAGTAGTTAAATTTAAAACAATTAGATTGATGTTGTCTATTGTTGCTCACTATGACCTAGAAC